TCGAAATTGACTTTGTAGTTGTTTCTGATGGAGGGGAGTGATATCTATCAGCTGTTTTTGGTCCCATGGAAAAATATTGTTCCTAGCCGAAAATATTGCCGGTCAAAGGTCAGCGCTTATGTGTAATTGTATTGCTCGAGCGATTTTCAATCGCGCGCCCTGAAAATCGAGTCTAAAAATCTATCTTCTCCTACATTTTTTGAGCAATCACCCTGAAACTTTCAGGATATGTTCTAAGGACCAATTAGAAGAGATTGTCGGGCCAGAATTTTGAGATAGGCCTTAGAAAATTTTTTATTCGATTTTGAAAATCTTGGACCTCGTATTTTGACGATTTTTTCAGCGCGAGCGAAAATCGCTCGCGCAATACAATTACACATAAGCGCTGACCTTTGACCGGCAATATTTTCGGCTAGGAACAATATTTTTCCATGGGACCAAAAACAGCTGATAGATATCACTCCCCTCCATCAGAAACAACTACAAAGTCAATTTCGAGAGAATTTTGATGAAGACCCCCCCGGCCCCCTTAATGATAGCTGGGATAAACTCATCACGTGTTACTTGTTCTAGAGGAGTGAGCCTATCTGCAACTCCTGGGGTAGATCTGCACACATAGTTCCATCTTTTACTAAGCCCATACCTTTATGCACTGTATGCTATTTGAGGTTCTCTTGATGCTATATCACTTAACTGTTTAAGATCACGACACCATTCTTGAACTTTTTCCTCAATGAAAGCCTTTATTCCTTGGTCTATTCCGATGAAGCTGCCCAGATATCGTCGACCAATGCTTGTCACATTGACATCTGGGAATAGGGATCTTGCCTTCTCTTCGTGCTCAGGCTTGACTATCACCCATGTTTTAGAAGATTTAGGGTTGTATCCAAAGAGTGGTCCTTTAATACAGAGGTTATCCCACCACTTCCTTATTTCTTCCAGTTTTCCCCCAGCAGCAGAGTCATCAGCATACCAGATCTGAGTCACCTTTCTCTCAATGTTTCCTGCATCAATCAATGGTATTGTACCACAGGCATAAAATATCATATTTTACCTTTAAGTTATTATATTCATAGACATGTCTGAGTGGTTATGTTTTGTTGTTTCACACACACTCATTCCCTTAGCATGTAAATACAACAAGGATGTAAATATAGAGGATTCAGGTGAACGGAACGAGAGCTAACCCTGAAGGGCAGGTAGTGTAATGTTTAGCTTATTTTGGTTTCTATGTAGTAGTTTCAGTTTCTTTGTAGTAGTTCCTTTAGTTCTAGGTTTGTAGTTTTGGGGTTACTACTTTCTAACATACTTTATTATATTTACAGGGTTGTTTTTAGTTCTAGTAAGTGTCTGCTGCTGTAAGAGTGAAAGCCAGACAAGTCAAGTTCCAGTGTGTGTGTGTGTGTCACGGGGACCACACAGAAGAACCTAAAGAGAAGATCTAGTGTTTGTGAGTAAGGGAATATCACAACACGTTCACATCACTTCTGGGGAAGTGATAGAAGAATTAGTTTCTAAGAAGTTAGAAGAAGTTAGAAGAAGTAGTTTATAAGAAGTTTGAACTGTTATTAAGAAGGATTTACAGTTTTGGGAAGATTTGTTTGTAATCACATTACCACACCACTCACGAGGTTAAGTGAGTGAGAGTTGTGTTTGAGGTCTGTGTAGAGTGACGTGCAGTGATAGTGAGTGCAGCGTTAGTGTGCTAACCCATTACCAATTAGTTAACAATTTAGTTACTAACCCAAATTACAACTTGTTTTACTTTGTCTCCCGTGATTGATCAGAATACACAATTTAACATAAAATCCCATGGCAGGTGGATCACCTTGTGTGGTCCCTTCTTCACTAAAAAGATGCTCATCTCCTCCTGCAATGAACAGTCTAGCAGGCATTCTGTAGGTGTTCATTATGTAAGTAGCAACTTCTGGACAAACGATGTTCATGTTGTTGAGAGCAGCCTCTCGGTTCAGCAAGTTGAATGCATTCTCTGCATCCACTAAGATGATAGCTTCAGTTTCAGGGTCTTCAAAGCAGTCCCTTGCAGCATGGACTGCTGCTTCCACTCCTCCCTGAAGACCAGCACAAACTTGAATAGGGAATATATTGATTTTTTGAAGGATTGTTTTTATATAAAGTTATTGTGACAATTATGTGTATATTGTTTGGATGATTTTTTAAATTAAGTGTTAATTAAAATCAATTTGATATAGTAATGTAAAAGATGTTACCACCGAATCTCTCCTTATCCCTGTCAATGGGAGAGAACTTCCTGCAGGGACCAACAAAGCAAATGGAGCTAGGTTAGATGTTAGTGCTAGGAGTGTATGGAACCCATTGGAAAGGGCATTTTTAGATGTAAGAGTATTTAATGCTCAAGCTCCTTCCAATAAGGCTCTTGGATCTCCAATGAGTATGTACACTAGCCATGAGAGACAGAAGAAAAACATGTACAACAAAAGGATTGTCGAGGTGGAACATGGAACATTTACACCAATAGTCCTATCAACAACAGGTGGAATGGGAAGAGAAGCAAATACGTTCTTCAAAAAGTTAGCTGATAGAATGTCTAGAAAATCAGGCCAAAGATACAGTGAAGCGATGACGTTTAACAGGAAAAGAATTTGATTCACGATGGCAATCCTTCGCAGCTCGGTGAGGCACAGTGGTGCATCTCGTTACCTGAGGACCCCAGGCTATTATGTTCATTAACATATATAACCGATGTATGTTAACATATATAACCGAATATAGATTTGGCGGAATGACAGGCTGAGCGCGGCCCAGTAATGCATCTCGCCGATCTACCGAGAAGAATTATTTGATGCGCGGTGCGACCCAGTAGTGCATTGTTAGATGGCCTCTAGTTGAACAATAAAACGCGCTACAAGAAAATAATAAGATTTAACTTATTAAGAACGACAATTATTGCTCTTAGAGGAGAAAGAAGAATAAAAAGTGGTAGTATAGTTAAGATATTAGATTTAGATATTAGTTTAGAGCCAACAAATTGAATTGGCTACTTTTACTACTACAATTGCTCTAACCAGAGCCCTCTCGCTTGCAGTAGCGCGCGACCGCCGTAGGCGGCAAAAAAAATCCTACTTGTGAAACAAGCGCGTCACGCAGTACGCGTAGGCACATGGCTATGTGAACTACTACAACAAAAGGTTTTTATGAAATTTTCTAAGATTTTTTATTGAATTACTATATAAAAATTTTATATAGGGTTATTGTTATATTATGTGTATATTCTTTGAATAATTTCATATGTTTTTACAATTTGATATAGTAATTAAAAATTGAAAATGAAAAAACATATGATGTATGAACAGAACAAATTATTTCATGCGCGGTGTCGATCAATAGCGCATTGCTAGTTTGTACTAGCTTGACAGTCCAATTAGTTAAAGTTGTTTAAAAATGCATTTTTAAAGTTTAAATTAGGCTTGTCACTAGACTTAAATCAAATATACTTTAAATTACAATAAATTTATAATATTGGTGCTTGAGGATTGCCGATTGGTATTAACATAAATTTAAAATTATTTGCTGTGTATTATATTTGTTTACTTTAGTAGATAATTTTAAATTAAATTATAATGGAAAAATACAATATCTCTGATGTTTGTGCTACGAAACATGCTGACACACGCTGTAACCCCTTTTGAGCACGCGCGACCAGCCCCAAAAGGCTTTCTCGCCGGCCGGTATACAACGTGTAGCAAGTAACATGTATCAAAAAACGTGTTTTTGAAACTTTTTGAACACATTTCTATTTGTAGGTTTACAACCTACCAAGACACGCGCCGAGTTGGACTCGTCGACGGTATTGAATTTATTTAAAAACCTGCAATATTGAAAATATTTCTCACACATTCAAAAATCGAGCGCTGTGCATAATTTTGCCATTTTTTCTCTGATAATGTCAAAAACGATTTCAATTTTCATGGTTCTGCATTAATGTCAAATTCATGTTATATATGAAAGTGTAGTTTTATCGTCCAGGTCAGTTAAACTTGAATGTTTTTGCTATGGAAGCAGACATATAATGTCTTCGATCCTTGGCAAGGGTATCTGAGAGGGTATCTGACAGTTCCTTGCGTTGCACACCAGTGTGTTGTCACACCTAGTCATAGCTCATATTATGCAGTATAGGCTCGTGTGAAGGCGAAGGCTACATTGTTTAGTGTTCTTGGACTCGTTGGCCAGTAGCACAGAGTTGCAGAAGAGACTTACTTATGGGGGCATATGCAAGTCATCAGATAAGATTGATTATTCAAAATATTTCTGGATTTTTGGCAAATGATGATTCCTGTTCACTGCTGTTCACATATTATTTGCATCGATGAGTTCTGTTTTGCAAGCGGCTGTTGACGATACTACGCAAATGAGTATCATGCTGACGAGTCCAGACCGCAAAAAATTCAGTTTGATTTCAATTTTTTCAAGTTCAACTTTTGAGTATGAGTCATGGTGTAACGCAGAGGCTTAACGTTGCATTTTGGCGCCCTTCCCCCTTTTAAGGTAGAAACGAAACATCGGACAAATAAGTCGATTATAGAGGATAAGCGGGTAAAATCTCTAAAAAAGTGTGTTTCTAGAGCAAAATGCGCAGTTTTGCTATTACTTTAGTTAAGTTTTTCTAAATTGTCCCTCATTCAAACAACGATTTGGCGCTAGTGAAGTCAATCCCGATCAAAATATTCAACCCCGGGATTCGGAAATCCCAACCAAGAAAAATCCTGGGATTCCCAAAAATCGGGGATTGAGAAGATTTCCCGGTCATGAATTCCCAATTGAAAATCGTTGGGAAATCTCGGGATTCGGGAATCCCGATGTCGGGATTGACTTCACTATTTGCCACCCCCCACCCCCGCACAGCAGGGTCAGCGGGGCCCTTTGTTTCACCACTGCTTTGAGTGTCTTAAGTTTCGAGGTTCCAGCTTAACTGGCATGGTTTCAATCAGCAATTCATACTAAAAATCAAACTAAGTAAATCATTAATCATAAGATAGAAAATTTCAAATGTGGCCTCAAATGAGGCTGTCTCTTGACTTTTCTAGGACATCACATATCCTAAAACTAATAAGCTCTATCGAAATACTCAATGATACTTAATTCATAAAAAATGTTATTGTATCTATTATTGTGTCAAACAACTAACGAAAATCAGAATTGCAATAACAGTCTGTACTACTGAACAATAAACATATTGTTTAAAAATGATTCATGAAATAAAAATGTCACAGCTTTGAAATTGATAACTATGGATCCCCTTTAAAACTCTTCAAATTTCTAGTCAATCATGTTGGAATAAATATGGTACAATATCATGGCACAAGGATTAGGAACTTTTCTGTCTTTTGTAATTTCAAGGTGGTTTACTACATTTTTGAGAAAGTCTAGCCCGTCAATTCTATTGTTGGAATCTTGTGAACTGTTGTAATCTTTTATACTATTCTTCAGTTTTTTGCTTGGCTGAAAATATAAATGTTAATTGAAAGTAAGTAACTTGTGAAAGTGTTTCTGGTCCAAAAAAGGAATATCCCACTATCTCGGTTGAATTATTTGCACTTTCTGTGACACATTCTTACAAATCCTAGCTATCTATTATTATTTAAAATGCCCACCTCAAAAAGGGTGCTTAGAACATCAATTTCATCATAAGTCAACTCCATTCCATCGTCGTTACTAATGATGTTTTGGAATGTCTCTCTGTATCTTTCCGATATGTTTTCTGGTTCTGTCTTGTCTGCAAGATTTTTTAAAGAATAAACGAAAAGCTATTTAATCTAAAAAAATTAATGTTTTAACCTTTTTGTAAAGTGTGTGCAATAACTCAAGGCACAAGAAAGAATTACATCATTTCATATGAAATCCTCGTTAATCATTAAGTGGTCACAAGAATTATCACGCTAATTAACATAACATACTCATTAGATACTTGATAAAGTTCTGGAGATTATCTTCTCTTTCATCTGAAACAATATCATTTTATCACAAGAAATAGTAGTTGTGGTATCAAGCCTAGCTGGTCGCTAGCAACACAATATTATCTTATTCCCAGACAAATAGTGCACACGATTGCTATGTAATATAATATGTAAAATTACAATTACCACTCATATCATCACAATGACCCTCATTTTCAATGTACTCTTTACAGCACTTAAGTATGTGCCCGTACAGCTCTTCACCGTTTCCAATCTTATCCAAAACATCATCCCTGTTTTCTGCTCTGACAACAATCTCAAAAACTTCCTCGCACATTTTCTCTACTGAAATAAAACAATAAGATTTTACTACAGCAACACTGATCAATCATGGTCAAAATAACACTGAGTGGAGTTGGGTTAGAAACATATAAGAGATACGATGATATAACTTGTAGAAGCTTTCAATAAACATGTGTTAATCGTCGTCAGCTGAATGTGATGGGGTGGACAATGCTTATATGTGATTGAGTGGTGTCAGGGATGGAGGGTGGGGGAGGTGTGGGTGGGAAAGTGAAAATTACAGTACAATGTCAATAAAAATTTAGTCTTCTGTTGAGATTGAGAAGGAAATGCCAGATGGTGTGGACTTTAAGGATTTGGCAATTTTAGGAAGAATGGGGTCCCAGAGGGAACTACATTTGGGTGCGCGGTCTGTTCTGTTCATGGTTGGTTGTCGTATTTGTATAGCTGCGTGTTCTGTGAGGTCAAGTTGGGAGCGTGAGGTAAGGGATTTGAGGACTTCGATGTTGTTCCAGGAGATGGTGTGGCCGGTGGTCAGGGCATGATGTGCAGGGGCTGATTTGATTCTGTCTGTGGATTCGTCGATGGCGTTGTTGGGTCTGTAACATTGTTCGTGTTCTTTCATGCGGTGAACCAAGGGTCTGTAGGTCTGTCCGGTGTATTTGGAGGGGCACTGTGAGCAGGAAATTTCGTAGATGGTGTTGGGAGTGAGGTGAGTAGGGGTGTGGTCTTCGTTTTGGTGAGGAGGTTGCGGAGGGAGGTAGCAGAGGAGTGGGTGACTTTGATGTCGTGTTGTCCGAGTATCTTGGAGATGGTCAAAATAGCACAGTTCAACGTAGTTAGGGTTCTTATTGTTTATCACGTATCATTAGTTTTAATGATAAACAGTCAATTTTTTAAACCATTCTTAAAATTATACTATTTCCATTTTAATTGTCATGATTCTCCATGTACAGAGATTCAGTTTAAATTTTTAAGTCTCATAGACGACTGGTTAAATTGTACTTACTATCTCCGCGATGGTCATGAAGTACATTTTCCTTGAACTCTCTTATTTCAGAACTGTTCCTCCTATCATAAGTAACTCCATACATCTGGGGATGGAAATACTCCTACCTAAAATAATTTGTTCAGACTGTTATTCAAGAGGAGGTTCTCGAGAAGGTTCTCGATGCTAAGGTTAGGGACATGTTTCAAGCGCCTGCGTGAAAAACCTAGAGCAGAGGCATGCAAAATAAACAGAAACTCAGAAAATTAGCAACGAAAGTGGTCATTTTTTGTTCAGATATTGTCAAAGCGAGAAAGCTGAAACTAGTGTAGGAATACAAAACTGTTTTCGTAATCTGCGATTGCTCTACCAAAGAGATTTATGCAGCGAGATTCGTTCAAGGATCTAAAGAGTCGGTTAACCAATGATCTTTACAAAAATTCGTAATGTTGTTGCGATATGAGCTAGAACCTATGTACTCAGTGCGTAGACACAGATATGCTTGAGTTTTGTCAGCATTTGAATGTGCAGGAGTTACTTAGCGCTTATTGTTCGTATATACTATACATGATAGGTCAGTCCTCACTAGCATGATAACTAAGCTTTATCAGATGCTATGTGACGCCTTCTATTCAGAATAGTTGACATAACAGAGTACTCAATACCCTAATTATGTGGGATTACCCTTTAATTATCATTGTTGCTTTACCATATATGGGACGGAGACATCAAACTATTATAATTTTCTTTCTGATTGAAGCAGAAGGTCAGATTACAAATCACTCATTACTCATTCAACAGCAACAGTCAGGAACAGCCCACTAGTACAACAAACGACAACAACAACAAACAACAACAATAAAGCTTACTACAAAACATGACGGTGAATAAAGAGGACATATAATATATAATAAAGATAAGTAACAACCAAGCAAGACGAAGTATTAGGACAAGTAACAAGTATGTATCTAGGATCAAAAAGAAATGCAGAACAAACTAAAGGTTTAAATACTAGGAAGTGATTGTTAGCATTCCTATTGAGCTATTGGCTTAAGAAAGCAAACCCAGAAAATAAAGTCTCTTCAAGAGAGAGAGAGAGAGCTCCAAAACAATTAAACAAATCTAAAAGTGAGGAGGCAGAGCGTGTTATAGTATGTTATACAGTCTACATACCTATCAAATTACACATTATTGTGTGTAGTAGAATGTGGGTATCGTAATGTTTTTTACAATATGCCTCGCCCAGAATATAGGAACATCGGTGATTACTGATAAGTTTAAATAATTACAGATATGTTTTAATGATTACAGATATGTTTTAATAATAACAGTTCACTGCATCTTCACACTAAGTTTTACCACCTCTTCAAGGTTAATCGTACGAATGACAAGTGTTGGGTAATTAACAGTAAAATCAGTCTAGCTCACAGCACAGACCTGTGAACTCTACATCTCAAGCTAACCTGGAAAATGTTGACAGGCCACACTCACATATCCGTGATATTGACAAAGGAGAGTATTATGAGTTTAGTAAGTGAGGGCAGCTGGTTTAATTGATCACGTGATCTGTTAAATATCGTTTAAACTAGTGATTATCTTACTTGTTAGCTCATGGTGTGTTTAAACCCGGGGTATCTGTGTGGAACTCGACATAATACTAATTAATAATACTAATTAATCTAATTAGTATAATCTTCTGCTATAAGTGAAATCCAGAGTTATATATATATACATAAAGTGACTTACTACTATAACTTACTACTTTAGGCTTGTATCATGTATGTAATAACATGAAGCCAGGTCTGTAGTATTATCATAAACTTACAGTTTCAGACCGAGTGTCTAGAAGAAGCGCGTCTTAGCTTCCCGGGATAGATAGAGTCTATCTATCCCGGGAAGCTTCTAGACATATTGTCTAGACACTCAGCAAGCAGTTAGCACCAAGTTACCAAGTTACGAGTATCAACAACTCTCTAACACACACACACACACAACCGTAAACACACTGTAGCAATAGTAGTATGGCAAGAGTAATATTGTTAACCAGCATGTAAGCAACAAGGTGGCTAGCCATGGCGCCACCTATGTACAATGTACTTTGTATATTATAGCCTTACAATTACCGTACTACGGCTTCTGCTGGTAAAGTGTGAAAATAACCCCGAAATCCTACCGTACCGACTGCTCGGTGTTTCTCTGTTGGTGTTTTAAAAATAGACGTGGCTAATTGTGGGGAGGTGGTGAATATTTGTCACGTGTCACCTTGCACCTTACTATAGTATTTAGCACTGATTCATCGCAGAGTTTGTGAAAAAAAGAAAGACGCGGTAAATCGGGTTCCGCGGTATATCAGGGTTTTGATTTTTCGCGGATATATGTTATAATTAAATGTCCATTTGAGGGAAAGAAGTGGCCGCGGTGAATAAGAATTATACTGTATAGCCTATACGTCTATTAATTTCAGCACTTGTAATATAAAGTCTGCAAGTGTAACACAAAGCGTAACTGGTACACCCAGAATAGGAAAAATGCAAGAAGGTGAAGTGTGGGCTCCCGATGCTACTCACGGTTTCACCAAGGGAACTGTGGTGGAGATAGGATCGGAGACTCTCACTGTACAGACTCCTGATGACGCGGTCAGTTTAACTTAGTACTTTAGTTGTTAAGATGTGGTTGCTCTGTAAAGAGTTTAACATATTCATTAAATATAGCTAGATCTTTCAAGAATAATTTGAGATCAATATTTTTGACTAAATTAAATTCAGAGTTCCATTATTTTACTATTTCAGTACATTGTAGCCGCGTACAGCAAAGTGTTTCCAACTTCTACTGAGTGCCTTGTGGACGACAACTGTAAGTAAACCCCTCTGTAAGTACACCCCTCTGTAAGTACACACAACTGTAAGTACACCCCTCCAAAGTCTTAGTGCTCAGTTATCCAGTTGTAAATAGGCAGGGCGATATTCTGGCCTCATTAATTAAGTAAATTAAACTTACTTAATATTAGTTATATAAAATATAAGGTATTAAATTATCTTAGTTTAAGGTCTTGTTAGTTTAAAACGTGTTTTACAGGCATGCTGTTGCAGCTGAACGAGGCCAGCTTGCTCGACAACATAAAATGCCGCTTCCTCATCGGCAAGATATACGTAAGTATTACGAATACGTATTACGTATGTACATGTATATACATATACGTAAGTATTACGTACTTTACATCTTAAAAAGTAATGATATACAATATCTCATATGTGATATTCAGATATTGTCTTCATAGCACATTGCAATTTCTCAGCTTGCCTATAAGTAGTGGTGTGCACTTTACTTTGCCCTATTGCAGTATAATGACCTGTAGTATAACAGAGAAATATTAAAGTAGGAGAGAAACCCCTCACCTCGACCACATTCCTAACTTAAGAAGGAATCTTGCGGAACCTCAAAACTAAAATTCAGGAACATTGTATTCCATATTATTACCTAATTCTAACTTACTTTTGCAGACGTACACGGCGAATATCCTAACGGTTGTTAACCCGTACCGAGATCTGTCTGCTCTGTACACAGATGCTCTGATGAATGATTACAAGGGAACCTCTCTAGGCAAACTGGACCCTCACACCTTCGCGATAGGTAAATGTGAACAGTAGTTTCTAATACGAGATACGCGCTTGGTCCCAGTCAAAATTGGCCTATAATTGAAATCCCGGCCAAAATTGTACAATTTGGACGAGATTAAGCCGGATATTTATTATATTTTTGGAAAAAATTTCGTAAAATTGATTTTTGTTAAATACGAATAATGTACGAATAATGTACCAGATTATCTCGTGTACTACGCAATAACCGATTGTGTAAAATCTGGTCGAGTTTTGAATTCACTTTCTTTTATATCATTCTACCAGTTACGTCACAAGAACTGCTCCTTATACTTAAGAAGGTAAAATTATGATAACGTTGAAGAAATGTTGCTTCTGGTAGCTAAACAGCCAATCAAATGTTGCCAGCTGGGACCAGGGGATCATTATTAGGAACTGAGAATTGTGAAATTTAATTAATTCTCATGAGATGGAAATACTCAAGAAAAGAATAAGACTCAGAGTGCTGAGTTTCCCGAGTGCTGAGGAACTAAATGAACTTCTTAGTGTAATAAGGGAAGTGCTTAGTGAGAAACAGTTCACTTTGTTAATTTTTTTCCCTACTCTTGCCGAAGGCAAAAAGATCGTAGGGAATAAGTAATCGGGTTTGGATATATGATGTGGCCCGACGGTCCTACGGTGATGAAAAAAGTCTGCTCCTTCGCAATATAGACCACTCCCCTATAATTAAGTGTATATGAAGCGTCTGTTATGCTGCGCGCGACGCTAGCCATGTGTTAATTAATTACAGTGAAATTCCTCCTTCGCAAAGTTATTTTCCGCAATTATCTGGATTCATTTATTGTTGATGCGCGGCGCTACATTGGTCAAATAAATCGTCAATTTTTACCATGCACGAATCTCACTAATTTATAAGAAACATAGTATGTACTATGTAAATATGTTGCACTTTTTTCCAGTCACACTTTTTACTCAAAAGAATTAATGGTACAACTACAAGTACAATGTACATCGTAGGGAAAATTGATCGTGCGTGGTTTAACCGCGGCGAAATTCTTGTTAACTCAAAATTCCCGGTCCTGGTCTTAGTCCCTGGCTGAGAGTATTCAGCTTGACTGAGTTATATCACGGCGCACTTACAGAATAAGTAGTTCATTAATTATCTAAATCAAATCAAGTCAAGAATATCCAATTAAACAAGGAATGTCACATGGCTGATAACGTAGTGCTATGTTTCAGCTGATAAAGCGTACACAGACATGATCTACCGTGGAGTAAGTCAGTCAGTGATTGTGAGCGGGGAGAGTGGAGCAGGGAAAACCGAGACAACTAAACATGTCCTGAAGTGAGTTGGGCTTTTGTTAGCAATCCAGCTCTACTTGGATCGTTTAGGAGCAATTAGGAGCAATTAGGAGCTTAGATTTAGTACTGAACACTGTGTTTGAATATGGAAATAAGAAACTGTTGATGTTTTTTTATAGATGTGGTTTGGTTATTTTTTCATTGATGATATTATGTCTGTTCAGGTATCTAGCGTCAGTTTACGGCAAGAGTTCTGCTAATGGAATTGAAGACAAGCTCCTTCAAGCGAACCCCCTCTTGGAAGCGTTTGGAAACGCGCAAACTGTTCGTAACAACAACAGCAGCAGATTTGGAAAGTTCATCGAAGTTAACTTTAATAAAGCTGTGAGCCTTCAATTAGAATTATTTAATATCTGGTATTTATTTAATCTTTATAATTTGCTGATCATCTAATTGCTCTAATGTACCAGTATGTGTTTGAATGATAACTTATGATGCGATTAAGATCCTGCTCATTACAAAATACGATTTCATTGATCTGTAGAAAGTAAATTGTGTTATAATACAGTCGAAAACGTAATTTAATAGAAAATCTCACAAATCTTCAATCAAACTTGTCGTCCTCTAAGAAGGGTCCAGTACCCCATACTTGCAGCTCTATAATGTGAAGATTTTGTCCCAGTGGTTGCTGTAGAGTTATCTCCTTCGCATAAACAGGGTCCTCATCCCCGATCGTAAAATCGTAGGTTCCTTGCGCTCGAATGACAGTGCCGATAAGTCTGTCATCTGCGTAGATGTGTGCTCCAATGAGTCGCTCTTGGCAGCAGTGTCTATGATTCCAAACCTTTATCTTATATATTCTGAAAAGTCCTCCGAGCTCTATCCAAATTTTGCTGCCTGGGGAGTTGGTTGTGTGAGTTAAGGTAGCCATGTCTGCCCAATGATGACTATCAAACGTGACCATACCATCCACTGCAAGATCTGCGTCGTGATTTCCTGGCCAGGGGTTAGTTTGTTCGGCTATCTTGTATAAGGAGATAATCCGTACCTCTGACAATTGAACCTTTTGTCGCTCCTCAAGGGTGATTGCTGTGGAAAGGGTCTCAGAAACATGGTTCGAGATGGTGCTTGAGACTGCTGCGTGTTCAGAGATCTTCCTCTCAACTGTTTTAGAGTGTTCATCCAGAGCTGCAAATCTATCCTCTTCCTTTTTGTTCTGCTGTTCCATTCTCTCCTCCATTCCTGCCATCTTCTCCTCTATTTTATTCTCTATATCTTCCATCTTCTCCTCTATTTTATCTTCCATATCACCCATCTTCTCTTCTATTTTATCTTCCATATCACCCATCTTCTCCTCTATTTTATCTTCCATATCACCCATCTTCTCCTCCATATCCTCCATTTTCTTCTTAATATCACTCAGTGTACTCCGCATCTCCTGGATATACAGGTTAGTTACAGTGCTCTGACTCCGAACCAAAGCTATCGTCTCCACCAGGGTCGTCTCCAGTGCTGACTTTGCCTCCATTGCGCTCTCTCTAACCTCATATGCTTCATCTTTAAGCCGGTATGCCTGCTCCCTGATAGAGTCTGCTTTGTCTATAGCAGTGTACCCCTCTCTCTGATCTGTTGTGCTGCTAGTTTCAGGGTGTGACAGGTATCATGGGAGTCAGGGTGGAGATCCCTCGGAAACTTCATATGTAGCTTCGCCCTTACCACCCAGGACAAGTAGCAGGTACACAACAAACATCGGTAAAATCAGATTAAACTTTCTCTAAGAGAATTGAAGCGAGCCGTGAGGTGATAAGATGAGTAATGGTGAGAACATGGTACCTCTTTTTTGTGGGAATTGGTTATCATACGTGTCCTATCACGTGAGATGAAGTTAATTGAACCGGGTCCACTTGACACAAACCAACCAATCAGGGCGAGATAGTGGGGGGTCACATAAACACATACCTGCTGGAGAAGTCCCGGATAACCCACCAGAACCCGAGTGAGCGGAGTTACCACATCTTCTACCGACTGTTAGCTGGGGCTAGTCAGGAACTGAGAAGGGAGATTAGACTTCGTGAAATAAAGGAGTACAAGGTAGGAGTGGGGGATGAAGCAGGGTAAAGGGTATTATTGAGGTCCTGTGCGGTTCAACTGATAGTATATTAAATATCATTGTTATTTAATTTTACGAGGTACTTTTTCTTGAATAATATTAACATGTTCTGTACTGCCTTACCAGTAATCTCTTCTCAGTGAGTTATCAAATTACCAGGTCACCAGGTTACCAATTAGCTAATAAGCCAAGTAACCTAGTAACCAAGTCTGATCAGTGATATTTCAACAGTGCTTATCGGAGGGGCGGTCAGGCAACATGAGGGACGCGGAGCAGTTTGACGAGATATCTGACGCGCTGCGTTGCATTGGAGTACCGGACACAGAGATACACGAGATCTACAAGATAGTGTCGGGAGTGATGGCGTTTGGGAACGTTGAGTTTATAGATAGCGGAGACACTAGAGGTACAGAATTTAGATGCATTGCAATTCAGTGCTTGGGTATCGTAGGAAATAAAACTCTTGTAGGAAAATTAAATGTTATTTCATGAAAACACTTAAAATATGGGTCTCCGGTTGGAGTACTGTAGTAAGACTAATAAAGCTAATGATGTAACCATGGTTACAGGAGGCAGTAAAGTGTCACCAGAGTCTTCAGACTGGATAGAGATTGCTGCCACGTGTCTCTCGTTGGAGGGAGATGATTTAAGACATTCTCTTACATCCCGTCTTATGCAGACCAAGAACTTGAAGAAAGGAACAACTTACATGTGAGCAAGGGGGTATACGTTCACTAGTAACTGAGAGAATAGTAACCAAGTAATCAAGTAACCAAGTAACCAAGTAACCAAGTAACCAAGTAACCAAGTAACCAAGTAACCAAGTAACCAAGTAACCAAGTAACCAAGTAACCAAGTAACCAAGTAACCAAGTAACCAAGTAACCAAGTAACCAAGTAACCAAGTAACCAAGTATCCAAGTAACCAAGTAACCAAGTAACCAAGTAACCAAGTAACCAAGTATCCAAGTAACCAAGTAACCAATAACCAAGTAACCAAGTAACCAATAACCAAGTAACCAAGTAACCAAGTAACCAAGCAACCAAGTAACCAAGTAACCAAGTAACCAAGTAACCAAGTAACCAAGTAACCAAGTAACCAATAACCAAGTAATCAAGTAACCAAGTAACCAAGTAACCAAGTAACCAAGTAACCAATAACCAAGTAATCAAGTTACCAAGTAACCAAGTAATCAAGTAACCAAGTAACCAAGTAACCAAGTAACCAAGTAACCAAGTAACCAAGTAACCAATAACCAAGTAATCAAGTAACCAAGTAACCAAGTAACCAAGCAACCAAGTAACCACGTAACCAAGTAACCAAGTAACCAAGTAATCAAGTAACCAAGTAACCAATAACCAAGTAACCAAGTAATCAAGTAACCAAGTAACCAAGTAACCAAGTAATCAAGTAACCAAGTATCCAAGTAACCAAGTAACCAATAACCAAGTAACCAAGTAACCAATAACCAAGTAACCAAGTAACCAAGTAACCAAGCAACCAAGTAACCAAGTAACCAAGTAACCAAGTAACCAAGTAACCAATAACCAAGTAATCAAGTAACCAAGTAACCAAGTAACCAAGTAACCAAGTAACCAATAACCAAGTAATCAAGTTACCAAGTAACCAAGTAATCAAGTAACCAAGTAACCAAGTAACCAAGTAACCAAGTAACCAAGTAACCAAGTAACCAATAACCAAGTAATCAAGTAACCAAGTAACCAAGTAACCAAGTAACCAAGTAACCAATAACCAAGTAATCAAGTTACCAAGTAACCAAGTAACCAAGCAACCAAGTAACCACGTAACCAAGTAACCAAGTAACCAAGTAATCAAGTAACCAAGTAACCAATAACCAAGTAACCAAGTAATCAAGTAACCAAGTAACCAAGTAACCAAGTAACCAAGTAACCTAGTAACCAAGTAATCAAGTAACCAAGTAACCAAGTAACCAATAACCAAGTAACCAAGTAACCAATAACCAAGTAACCTAGTAACCAATAACCAAGTAACCTAGTATCCAAGTAACCAAGTAACCAATAACCAAGTAACCAAGTAACCAATAACCAAGTAACCTAGTAACCAATAACCAAGTAACCTAGTAACCAATAACCAAGTAACCAAGTAACCAATAACCAAGTAACCAAGTAACCAAGTAACCAAGTAACCAAGTAACCAAGTAACCTAGTAACCAATAACCAAGTAACCAAGTAACCAAGTAACCAAGTAACCAAGTAACCAAGTAACCAAGTAACCTAGTAACCAATAACCAAGTAACCAAGTAACCAAGTAACCAATAACAAAGTAACCAAGTAACCAAGTAACCAAGTAACCAAGTAACCAAGTAACCAAGTAACCAAGTAACCAATAACCAAGTAACCTAGTAACCAATAACCAAGTAACCAAGTAACCAAGTAACCAAGTAACCAAGTAACCAAGTAACCAAGTAACCAAGTAACCAAGTAACCAAGTAACCAAGTAACCAAGTAACCAAGTAATCAAGTAAACAAGTAACCAAGTAACCAAGTAACCAAGTAACCAAGTAACCTAGTAACCAATAACCAAGTAACCAAGTAATCAAGTAAACAAGTAACCAAGTAACCAAGTAACCAAGTAACCAAGTAACCAAGTAACCTAGTAACGGTATCACTGCAGGGTGCCGCTGAAAAAGAAAGAGGCGTTACATAACCGTGATGGTCTGTGTAAGTCCCTGTACACACGGCTGTTTAACCACATAGTCAAGCAAGTTAACCAGAGTCTACCGCTCTCAGACAATTCCAACTGTTATATTGGGGTCCTGGATATTGCTGGCTTCGGTACGTCCTTCAAACATGTTCTACCCAGTGGCAACGTTACGCCGCTGGTTCTACCATAATCTGCTGATTTAGTTATGATTTTAGTATGAAAAATTTCGGCAAATTTGGGACAATTGAAATTAACACACCATAAATAATAATTGTGAAAATTAATGGATATCTAAAAATCCCACAGATAAACCAGTAATAATGAGATGTTAACCAAGAAAACCCGCAGAATATTTCGAGACAAACTCATTCGAGCAGCTCTGTATAAACTACTGTAACGAGAAGCTGCAACAGTTCTTCAACAGCAGAGTAATCAGGGAGGAACAGGACTTGTACAAGGCTGAGAACCTGGGTGTTAACGAGATACAGTTCTCTGACAACCAGGATTGTATCGGTTAGTAATTTATTAGTTGGTTAGTAACTTAATTACTTAGTTAATTCACTATTGTAATAACTAATCTAACTTACCAACTTATATTGTCACTAGAGCTGATAGAGCGTGGGTTTGTACTGCTGGATGAGGAAGCTAAACTGCCCACTAGTTGTGAGAAACACTTCACCTCTCTGCTTCACGAACAAAACAGACGACACTTCAGACTTCAGGTTATTTGAGTTACTTAATATTGCTTAATATTACTTAATATTGCTTAATATAGCTTAATTAATATTACTTAATGATCAGGCCTTGGGGAGGGGGTTTTGCAATTTTACAAAAATTCATTCATATAACCAATGACTATGACCTGGTAAAGTGAAAGTAAAAGTGAAAGTGAAAGTAAAACTACCTGTTCCTTCTTCAGTTGCCGAGGAAGAGTAAGTTGTCGAGTTACCGCTCTATGTTGGACGAGGAAGGTTTCATTATCCGACACTACGCCGGGGCTGTGTGCTACAACACGGTAGGTTACTCTGGTAACTCTCATCAAGTTTATTATTCTGTAATGATTGTGTCTTAGAATTTATTCTTTTGAGCCCTTATTATAGTTGATTTTTAACTATGCTGATAACCGGCCTGAAGAAGTGATGTTTTGATGGTATACCGACCTGATATATTCCAAATAGGTGTATAGTTAATTTTTTCCCCTGAAAATCCGCTCAAGAACCTGTAAGTTGTTGATAAAGTTGAAAATAATATTGTCCAGCAATAAGCAACCTCTTAACTAATTTCGTCGTCATATCCAGTTTTCTAAGATAACACAACATCTTCCTTATGTTGGATAGTTCTTCTATTATGCTCTCAAGTCATACCAAGTTGTTGTTACATTTAATGTCCTTGAGTTCTACGTAAGTCAACCCCATTACAAGTTGATGCGGACAACTTAGAATAAATGTGTTGCAGCCCACAACAATGCCATTTGCTCATGTTTCAACATCTTTCAATATCTTTCCATCTTACAATATTACAGCTCAATATGATTTGGCCTTTTTTGGAGCTTTTCGGTCACCGATCCTGCGTGTGCTCCTTTATAAAATCATTCACGATTTTCTTTGTTACTTTTGAACTTCCTTTCGCAGTATAAATACAGGCCTCTATTCTGATCTAGCATGGCGACAGAAATTGGAAAGAGACTCCAGTATCATGTACCCTATGCAGAGTAGTGGCTCATTATTAGCTGTATGTTTTTATGTCACGGTCACAACTCTACTAAATTGTCAGGCTCAGCGCTAAATACTAGTTATTTACAACTAAACTTTAATGTTTTTGGTTGGGGACTGGCCCGAAGTGCCAGCCAATGTTTACTCAAAATATATATTACATTATAATCGTTATCTAATATCTATCAAAAGTTAAAACTCACACATAAAATTCGATATTAAATGTATACAGTTAATTTTGGGATATCCTGGTTGTTATCAGCTTATATACAGCACGTGCAGTTGCGCGCCTGTTGCTGATGTTTAACACGTGTTCACACACCTTGTAGAACATGACGTGCACTGAGTGTTGGCTGAGCACGTGGGAGGTATACACATTCCTACACGCCCGTTAACACATTAGCTTGGGAGCTGGGCTGGTTCTCATTACCTACCTGTGTGAATTATGGATAACTACAAGCTAATGTGTAAAGAGAGAGAGTTGAAGTGTGGGGGAGTAAGAGAGAGTAAGAGAGAGAGAGAGAGGGGGTGTATGCGTGTGTAACTATTGTTCTCCAGGTATATCTTGTGCAACCTATGCAGGGATCAAGCATTATGCTTGGGTTTCAGAAACCGGTGAAAATATGTTAACTTAGATCCTAGTACATTTTAACCTGGTAACCTGGTAACCTATTACACTGTTAACCTAGTATCCAAGTATAATGTGTAAGGTGTAATAAATTAGTAACCAAATAACCTGTTAAATTTGTACATCTTATCATCGACCTAGTAACCTGGTAACCTGGTATCCTGGTATCCTGGTATCCTGGTATCCTGGTATCCTGGTATCCTGGTATCCTGGTATCCTGGTATCCTGGTATCCTGGTATCCTGGTATCCTGGTATCCTGGTATCCTGGTATCCTGGTATCCTGGTATCCTGGACCCTAGTAACCTGGTTACCTGGTTACCTGGTTACCTGGTTACCTGGTTACCTGGTTACCTGGTTACCTGGTTACCTGGTTACCTGGTTACCTGGTTACCTGGTTACCTGGTTACCTGGTTACCTGGTTACCTGGTTACCTGGTTACCTGGTTACCTGGTTACCTGGTTACCTGGTTACCTGGTTACCTGGTTACCTGGTTACCTGGTTACCTGGTTACCTGGTTACCTGGTTACCTGGTACTGAATTAACCTAGCTATACTAACTACCTAGTAACCCAGTACAATACAGGTTGGTTGGTTGGACAGGAACAGTGACACACTCCACAGCTCGCTGGAGCAGCTAATGCTGACCTCCGAAAGTGACCTGGTTGCCAGGCTGTACAGTGATATACAGGATGTGAAGTGTAATAAGAAGATGGTACAGGACAGTGTCGGAGGAAAGTTCAAGGTTTGCTACTTCTAAGATTGGAGAATAAAATTGTTAGCACAGACTATTCCACATTGTGGAGCATCATGGTTCTCAGGTTCTCTAACGTTGAGCTCTTCCTAATTATAATTAAAAGTTTTCAATTAACTCTGAGCCGGTAATTTAACACTCACACTTCCCGCTCAGAAACAACTAAATACGCTGCTTGAGAAGTTACAGGGCACTGCTACTAGTTTCATCAGGTGTATCAAGCCAAACCAACACATGGCACCTGCCGAGTTTGACGGTTAGATTTACTGCTCACCTTCCTTTTCTTCTATTAATATCTTGAACTACTATCTACTTTTTATTCTTGGTACGATGATAGTAAAACCTAGATATGGTTTTCGCAGCTTCAATTCCTTGCTATTATCTAATTTTCTATTCGCATATTGGCCCTTCTCTAAAAAGATGTAAATTGGCTTATAATTAGATAATCGATTAGCAAGCTGTTAAACCAATAACTACAGGAGGAAAAGTATTGAACCAGCTCATCTCGCTTGGTATGGTCACAGCACTGGCGTTGATGCAGGCCGGCTTTCCAAGCAGGATCGCTTTTAAAGATCTCTACGACATGTGAGTACTTATTTCTGTAATTAATGAAATTAATTAAATGAATAATTGAGTAATTATTACGTTACAGACTTTTGCTTGAGTTCCTTACATCTTTAACGTTCAATGGAATTGTTTGTTACCAAAGTACAAATTTTAACACATATAAACAATTTGAAAGGTACTCGTCCAATCTGCCCGACAAGCTGAAATCGCTCCATCCCCGAATGTTCTGCTCGGTAAGACCTTAAAGTAGATTGTTTTGGCACAGACTGAAATAGTACACCCAAAGAGAACATCGGCGGTCACTGAAGAAAAAAAAACAGTCACAATTTCGATATTTATTATTGGAGCACGCATTGACAAAAGTGTGAACAAAATGTCAATTTTCTCATCCACCTAAACAAAATGAGTAGACGCGCGCAGCGTAGCCCAGAGTTAAATTCCCAGAGACTGCACACTAAAACTACGCCCGATCAGTACGTGACCAGACTTCCGAATAATGTTATCCTTTGGGCGGGTATGGAAAATTATCTCTCCTATTCCAAATCCTTAAATTTCATTGCAATCATTATCAAACTTTATCCATTTCAGGCACTATTTCGAGCCATAGGTATGAGCCCGAATGACTACAAATTTGGGGTTACCAAGATTTTCTTCCGTCCAGGAAAGGTGAGCTTAATTAATTCTACTTTTCCATCTATTTCAGTGGGTAAGTAAGATGAAAATGTAGTTCGGTAATACATAGTTGTCTATGAAACACAATGTTCAATTGATTATTTTCCCCGTTTAACGATTAAAGGGACTCTCATCAAAAATTCAATTTATACTCATATTCACAGTTCCACACCATTTCCAAAATACCATTCATCAATACTCCTCAGATAAATTGTTACAAATATACAGGTTCCTAGTAATCTCACTTTTTCATTAATTTTCCTTATCCCAGTAATCCTGAATGTACATTAAAGATAATTAATGTAAGGATCCAATATTTAGAAATAATTTTACTTGGCAAGTTAACTGAACTAATGTCCACTATCCTCAGTTCGCAGAGGTGGATCTGTTGATGAAGAGCAGCTCACAACATCTGATTGATATGATTTCACGGGTGGAGAAGTGGGTACTCCGTCAATGTTGGAGAAGAGTACAATTCGCAATCCTGGCATTTAACAAATGTACGTTAGACTCACTTTAGCTCTTGTTGTTTTAGGAACCACTCTGTATGTTCAATCAAACTATTCCTTTATAAGTCAGACCCGTCCTTCTCAATAACTCAAACTGCTACCCCCACAATTCACATCATCTAATGTCTAGATGTAGCATTATATTATATACTGTACAGGGACGAAGATAGCTCGCTGGAGGACGGGCTGTATAATTAACATACAGAAAAACTACAGAATGTGGTCAACCAGACGTAACTACCTGCCAAGGTTAGAACTTTTTACATCGTTGTATCTTACACTGTATCCTACACTATATCATTCACTGTCTCCTACACTGTATCCTACACTGTATCCTACACAGTATCATAAACTCCTCCCTACACTGTATCCTACAATGTATCCTACAATGTATCCTACAATGTATCCTACAATGTATCCTACAATATATCCTACAATGTATCCTACAATGTATCCTACAATGTATCCTACACTGTATCCTACAATGTATCCTACAATGTATCCTACACTGTATCCTACAATGTATCCTACACTGTATCCTACAATGTATCCTACAATGTATCCTACACTGTATCCTATACTGCCTCCTACACTGTATCCTACACTGCCACCTACACTGTATCCTACACTCCCCCTACACTGTATCCTACAATTTATCCTACACTGTATCCTACAATGTATCCTACACTGTATCCTACAATGTATCCTACACTGTATCCTACAATGTATCCTACACTGTATCCTACATAGTCGATTGAATAAGATCCCATTCATTAAGTAGTACTTGAATTGTTAATGATAACTGTGTAATTTGTATTACCGTAACTAACCCCTCCCCGCTACCAGAATAGAGGGAGTAAGAGCTATAAAGGGAAGCATGTCTAAAATTACAGTAATGATTGAGATCGGTGAGAAATAACGCTCAGTGTTATTTTTAAAATATTGCTGCTCGAAAAGACCGCGGATTTTCTGCTGTTAGGTCGAACGGAATTGTGAAATTTTCGAATCACAGCTGTAAAATCGCAGCTGAACATGGTCAGAGAGAAGGAAGAGATGCCGAAGCTGCTGTTGATATACAGGGTGGGCCAAAAGTCAGTGTGCAAACGTTGGGTCTTATACCTCCGCTGAGTTTTATATTTGAGAGCTGTTGCTTTGCAGATGGCATACTGTACTTACTGGTTCGAGGATTCCGTCGTCAAAATTTGAAAATTCGAATATTTTAGACCACGCCCATTCAATATTAAAACACCTATATTGTTTTCTCTGAAAATCCTGAACGCCTAATTTTTTTAGAGACGGTAGATTATCAAATGTTGCATATGATCTGAAAAAATGAGGCAAAACGGATTAGAAATGACGAAGTTAACAAGCATTTTGTGTATCTCGTTAACAAATTGACTGGGTGATTATGTGACACCGTGACACGACACCTTAATTGGGCACCCTTAACAATTCCCATAATGTTTAACGGGGTAGTTAACGGGGTCACCTTATCACGTGATTAGGTAAACCAAACACCTGATCACACGTAATGAACAAGCTTGTTATGCTTCATATCTCGGTCATCTGAGAAGCTAGAACTCTCATTCTTTCAGGGCAAACGTAATTCGAATGGCCAAACACAATTCAATAACATTTAGCTTGATCCGATTATCCAAACTATCAAAAAAATGTGAAAATGAACCTCCATTTGAAAAAAACGAACGCGAATATTTTTCGAGTTGACAAATTCCTCGAACCAGTGGTAGTACTAAGTCATACCAGAAGAAAGTATTTCAATTGGGCACTCAGTGACTGAGCTATTAAGGCCAACGTTTGCACACTGACTTTTGGCCCACCCTGTATTTTAGCTGATTCGATAGTATAGCTAAAATTATATTCTTTGTATAAACTGGAGATGTTTCAGATGGCAACTAATTTAACCCATCTTGATCAGAAAATAACTTAAGAACCGTTAAACCGTAAACCACTTGACTTCTAAAAATCAAAGTTGATAGATATTTCGAGCAACAGATCTCACAATTAACCATGTTCTATTTCCAGCAAGTAAGATAAAGTACGACAGAGATGCAGTTAATAAAGAGATTGATGAGATGAGACAGTTTCTGGACGGAGAAATGGGACAACTCAAGGCTGGTCAGGTTCATACTGACCTCATACAGCTCAAACTGGGACAGATTGAGGACCAAGTTAAACGTCTATTAGACAGGGTGAGTTGGGACAGATTGAGAACCAAGCTGGGAGGTTTCATACAGGCAGAATATCCGTACAGACCAACCTGGATATGAGTCGTATTTGACTCACAAATCTAGATTCTATTGGATACAGTAAATTGAGGGATTCCAGATTTGGCACAGTGTAAGTTGTCGTATTTTAGCGTATAGACGCCTGCTATATTTAGTGGACGTGTTTGTCAGGTATGTGTTTGAACTCCTCTCAAAGTAACATAGCTCTCTCACCGTGATGTTCGGTGTTTTTCTCTGTCCAGTTAGTCACGCAGTGCCTAACCCAACTAGCCAAGATTTAGCTCTGGCATTATCACGTGACTAAGATTTAGCACTGACTTTACCACGTGATGTTGTCAGAATTTGATGTGATCCCAGAGCGCGTTCCTACCCCTGTAGTTTTATTTCTTTCATCACCTTTCTGATACAATTAATTTGAGGTATTTCACCGAATGGCAGTACCTATCCTTCATCAGTGTAAGTGCTCACCTGTTATTTGTGACTTGTTTCAATCAAACTGCTGTGTTGTTTATGTGTTGGGCGGATTATTATTCCTCGTCGGTTGTCCGTACCTATTCTGTATAGGTCAGGGTTTTTGTTAACGTTTTAATGATAATATTATGGCAACTTAACCATTTCTACCAAGCTAAGAACCCTACTTTTTTTTAAATTACTTCATTTTAATATTAGTGCACCTTGCACAAATTCAATAAAAACACTTCTTCAATAGTTCCTTCTATCTAACAGATCCAAACAATTCAAGTTTTGCTCTCATTTTAGCACACATTTAATAATCTCACCTGAAACTTTAGATTTTCACTATTTTTGAACACTATTGTTCACTATAGGTGAAGGAGACGCAGGACTCAGATAAATTGAGGCAGATTCAGGAGGATATGGAGGCTGAGAGATTGAGACAAGAAGAGGCAGAGAGACAGAGGAAATTGGAAGAGGAGAGACAAGCTGAAGAGAGACGCATGTAAGTTGCTATTGTTACCATGGCAACATAGCTGATAACGGTTACCATGAAAACATGTAAGTTGACTGTTGTTTCTGCTGACAACGGTAATTATTTTTGTTTCCGTATCGACAAAGAACTGAAGTATTTTTTCTCCAGAAAGAAAGAGTTGGAGGAGAAGAGGCTGAGAGAATTAGAAGAACAAAGGAAGAGAGAAGAAGAAGAAAGAAAGAGACTGGAGCAAGAAAGAGAACGATTAGAACGAGAACGTTTGGAAAGGTAGGATTATCTCACCTCAATATCAGAATATAGACTGTTTATTAACAGTTTAACTTCACCCAGTCTATCGAAGTGGGACTAAGTTTTTCATCTTTGGACACTTTACTATATTCGAACAAGTTGAAGTTTTACATCGTCACCCTCAGTGTTAGTCTGTTGTTCTGCGTAGTTGATCAAGTTTTGATCGGTACCCATACATTTGTTTGGCTTGTTACTCGACAGCCTGTTAAAACCTGAGGAATAGTTTTGACAATATAGGGCATTTATCTGATCTATGTTGTGGGGACTGACTAGAAGTTTACGAGGTATTATTGATATTCAGAGAAGAAGAAGAGAGACAGGAGGCACTTAGAAAAGAACAGGAGGAGAGGGATAGGATGGTAGCTCTGTCTATTAGTGAGGACAATCAGGCGACACTTGTTAAGGAGGAAGTTTTAGTTCCGATCGAGTAAGTACCGTTCAAAATTTCGTATCTTCGTATCTTTGGGTTACTGACATGAACATGTAATTAGGTCCGTCCGACCTAGTAGGTCCGACGGGTCATAACATGTCAAAAACTTATGGTTAAGCTAGTGGTCTCCTGAACTCGTATATGAATTTTCAATCAGATTAGACTAAAAATGACTGAGTTATGAGCCAAAACCCATATGCCCATATTTGGGCATGTGTACCAGATTTGATAGATTTTGGCCCATAAATTGGTCAAATATCAATATTTTTTAATAAGACTAACTGTATTTGAAAGGTAAGCCTAAACTACATATTCTCTGTGAGTTATAGCTTTATGTCATGAACATGTAATTAGGTCCGTCGGACCTAATAGGTCGGGCGGACCTAATTACATGTTCATGTCAGTTAGCATGGAGGAGGGGTGGGGTATTTGATTGGGGTTTTTATTATTTATTCATGTATTTGTGTTATGATCACAGTAAGATCATTTTAGGTTCTCCTCATTAAGATATACAATTAGCAGTTTCTTAGTTTTATAACATGTTTTATCAGGAAAGATACGAAAGGGGGCCTTGATAGAAACAACATAAAAGATTGGAAATATTCCGAACTGAGAGACTGTATCAACACCTCCTGTGGTAAATGATAGCAGTTTTTTACTTCTTATATTCAATATGCTGCAATGTCAACGCGTATAATTACCATGACAACAAATGTTGTAACCACGACAATACTTGTTGATGCCATGTCAAAACATCAGGGCTGTGGTCAGATGTTTCATAGGGGTGATTCAGCTGTGGCATCCGGAGAATGTTTCAGAAAATATGCAGGAATGAAATTTAGCGATTCTAATCATAAAGTCTAGCAAGATTGTTTAGTGCAGATTTGTGTAAATGTAGCTCCGGAAATTTGGCAAAAACGACTTCAGGATTAAAATTAAGTATTGAAAGTTATTTTTGCTGCGAGTCGTTACCTTTGCCGGAGGTAGGTCAAATCTCCAGAAACTTTTTTCGTAGGAAAAAGTTGTATTTATATCAGGAATTGTGATGGGAAAGGAAGCCACGGAAATGTTTGAGAAATGTGCTTTCAGGAATGAATTCTGATAATGCAATCCATTTCAGCATCTTAATATTCCAATTAAGAGTCTTGGAGGCGAAGTTCCCGGAATCTTTGACAAATAAGCATTCAGAACATTTAGTGATTTGAAATGATATGTACAGCAAATGTTAATACTAATCTTCGCAAATTTGGGCAAATCCGTGGAATTGTTCCAGAAAAGAGAATTCTGAGCTTGTCAGGAATGAAACTTAGGCAAAGACGATATTAAAATCATATCAATCTACATCAGATATATAGACAGATAGGATTGGGACAGAAGACTCTGGATCGAATGAAATCTATAGCAATGAGAAATTTAAAGTTCAAAGATTACATCTTTGATTTGTTCATGGTAGGATTCATGAATCCCTGCAATCCCCATGGTTATGCGCCTGCAATGTAATATGTAGTTACCATGACAACACATTTTGTTACCATGAAAAATTATTCGTTCTTACCATGCCAAATCCTTTATTTCAGATGTGGAACTACTGGAATTGGCAAGGGACGAGTTCCACAGGAGACTGAAAGCTTACCAAGCTTGGAAACAGAAGAATCTACAACGGAAGAAGAAGGAAGCAGCAAAGCCAGATCTTCCTCTGTCATCTGTACCTGAGGCTCCCGTACAATCCTTCAGAAGTAATGTGCTTTCTAGAAATGAGCTTAGTAGGGAGGTGGAACGGTGGGTCTGGGAGAAATTAAAGTACGGATAAGGGATTCGGAGTAAGGATGGTGCACTAGGAGAAATTTAAGTATGGATTAGGGGGATCGGAGTTAAGATGATGGCCCTGGGAGAAATTAAAGTACGGATTAAGGGGATCAGAGTTAGGATGCTGGATCTGGGAATTGATATAAAGATATAAAATATAGTGTCATGGTCTGTGAAACTCTTAAACTAATTGGCCAATATCTGAGCGAATTTGTGAGATTAAAGTTTTATTTATCTGTGAAAAGTGTAAACTTTGTACATGACGGTGTGTTAAGACATATGAACTTATTTCTGTTAATTTGTAAGATAACGTTTTAATTTCAAATAGTTATACAATTTTCTTTAAAACAGCTGTGTGAGTGTGAGTATGATTCCGAAGTGAAAGATAGGACTGCAAAGTAAAATAATTCAGTTTACGCACAATATATTGAACCAAAGGTATCGTTCCTCTATTCGTAAATTCAATTCCATCGTCCAGCCACAGTAAGTCAAAAATGCAAACCACAGAATTAATTAATTGCTAAATGAAAATAAATCCTGAGCAAAGGGTCCTGGAAAGATTTGTTTCCTGCGTTAGCTTGCAAGGCTAGGTAAGATTAACAACAACAACAACAACAAAAAACCCCGATTTACCGCGGTCATTTCATTCCCCCAAATGGGGGCTTAACGTAAATAACGTATGCATGTGAAGTTTCAACAATCAGTTCCCGATGAACTTTTTTGTGGTAAATCGGGGTTTTTCTGTACTAACTATTAATCCCTTGTCTATCGTATTGAGTGCAAAAATATTGTGTCGAAAATAGTGTTTCGAATTTTGCCTTGCGAACAATTGACATCGCCCGTATGAAACTGAATGTGTCCTAGTATTTAGGCAGTTCGGAGGTCAGTGAGTTAGAAAATTTGTGAAAAATGTATGAATGAAGAATATAAATAGGGATCATCAATACGGAGTATTGACAAGATAGTTTTGCCAGAAACTCAGTAACTTAGAAGCCATGAAACTTACTGTGGGGATATGAAGTATTGACAAGATCGTTTTTTCCAAAACTCAGCAGCTAATAGAGGCCAGCTATCAGCTGATTAGGAAAATAACCGTGCCGCTATGTTTCAGAGGAAGAGGATAAACCAAAACACGAACACAGACTGTTCAAAGTGCCGTTTGTGTACCCCTCCTACAACAACCCGAGTGTGCGAGGCTGGTGGTACGCTCACTTCTATGGCAAGTGGATTGTTAGACAGCTAGAAATACACCCTGAGAAGGCACCACTGTGTCTTATTGCTGGTAGAGATGATCTGAAGATGTGCGAGCTGCAACTGCAAGAAACTGGTAGGTTCATTTTTGTGAAGATACTGGTAAGGTAACTAATTCTCGTGCTTAAAAAGAGCACGACGATTTTTTTTCTTCTTGACCATGAAGGAATTGAAACTGGAAATGTGTTTTTTGTATTCGTTTTATTAGAATACAGGGTGATGCAAAAAGAATGTAGGGATAGTAAAAAATAATATTACGTGGATGATAGTTTTTAACAATCTTATCACTCATCAGGTCTGACTAAAAGGAAAGGAAGCGAGATAACAATGAAAGAGTTTGATGACTTGTGGGCTTGTTGCGGAGGAGGCACCTACGTTCTAAGAGAAGATCAGTGAGACACTTCACACCACGTGACATGCAGAAATGTACAGCAATTACACCACGCTGTCGGACTTGGGTCGAAAAATGTTGTTGATTTTAAGGAGATGATCTTTTCATTTTCCACCAGAATTTCCTAGTTAAAAGGGTTGAAATAGCTCGGCTAGCGTGGCCGGTATATATTGGTATGGATTATGCTGTTAAATTTTACTGAAAGAAATAGTTAAGACCCAAGCTATTGCTGATAATAGTTTGAGTCTAATAAAAGTTTAGTTTTGCTTTAAACGTTGTAAAATTTAATCTTAACGCTGAAATCTTTAACATATCACGAGCAAAGTAGTACTAGTGTTTGATTTTGATGATTTTGGTGCAAAGTTTAAATATTCTATTCATAACTTTAACAATGTGCGAGTTTTATTTTTGAAAAGCCTGACCTGTATTTTCTAAGGTCAACTCAATCGAGTGGCCTGCATCAAAGAACATTGGAAAGTGGTACATAATGAATGTTAATACCAAATATAACTGATACCACCACACTTTAGTGCAGACTGAGCGCCGCCCAGTAACTGCAGATGTTTCTCTGTGAGATTTGTACACTATTTATATTAGGTCACTTTAATTAGTCTGCAAATGAACATATATCTTCAATCTAGGGTCCCGTAATAAAACCCAGTTTTTGGTCATTTGCTCAATCATGTAATCCTAAACAATTGGAATGGTGGATCGTCAGCTAAAATTGGATCCTCTAATCCTCTGATAATGGATAACTCGACTCAGTACCAAACACCGTGCAAACTTGATTAGGACACCGACAATGAATAATATGATGAAAATAATTTAGGGGTGTTGTACCGCTTCCCTGCCTTGATTCCTTCATTGAATATGGGGTGCATAATTTGCAGACTTGGACCTGATAACAGTGATAATTTGTGAATCTTGGACTGTAATAAAGAAGTAACAAAGAAAAAGAAAAGGTAAGTATGATTAGGCATTGCTGGAGGCGTCATAATTTGTAATAAATATCAAAATTAATATTGTGAAGAACATCGATCGGATTTGGTTCAAATTTTTGTTTAAAATTAACAAAAAAAACCTTATTTTATTCAAATTAACGCATTTCCTTAGTTTTAAAAGCGTCAAACTGGGATGTTTAATATTCATGTCATGTCGTCTCCATCCCCGACCCCATTGATTTTTCAAGAAAGTACTGCATCATTTTATATGTTAGAACGTTTGATAAGGTAAGGATAAGAAAGCCACAATTTTCAATCACGAATCACGATACAAAACCCTTTTCTAAAACAAGGAATCGCAAGACTAAACTTAAAGATGCCGTCAACAAAAACAAGCTTGATGGAGACTGCTTAATCATCATTTAATTAATGTTTTCACAAAAAATACATCCTTTTAGTTTTATGTTTTCTACAATCAAATTGTTGATTCATTTTTGTAGAAATTTAATAACACACGCTTCTAAACGTTTCCAATGTGAATTCTATTTTTGCCACCGGTTGAAGAAGTTATACTGAAGAGTATCCTCGAATTAATTTACGGTTAAATTAAATGTTGCCTGGAGCTCTGCAAATCTCTTCAACTAAATCCAGCTTCAACATTTTTCGGATTTTAATCAGACATTCTAAACGAATTTTTCGTTAAAATTTGATATTTTAATGTTAGTTTCATCTTTCGGTTTGGATAATTTGCCATACTTAATCAACTGGTCACATAATGTATCCTTGGCCCAAAAATGTATCATATAAACCACCAACCCGTAGTTTGTGGGACGAATGTTCATGATTCACGCTGTGTTCATTTTCATCCAAACGGAAGCATCGGAGACTTTAAGTGTCATTGTATTTGATAGCAAAAACTTTAAGAGTTGGACATTTTTGTTTGCTGGACTGATCGTTGTTATCATCAAAATTTCATTTCCGATCGGCCATACATTGCAAAGATTTTCTTTCAGTTAGGACTTAGGACCTAAACATAAGAAAAATGTGTGAAATCAGGTAGCCTTGATTTGTCTGCCATCCCAACCTCGGAACTAAGCATTTACATTTTGAGCCTAAGGGCCGACTGAGCCATTTGTGCTATTATCCAGTTACTTTTGAAAACTTAAATATCAACTTCTCAGCCCGACAGCCCTTTTAGGCTTAGCTGCAAATGATGAAGCAAAAATAATGACTCGATTGTATGTTGACTGGATTATTTTAAGGAGATTCTTTGATCGAATTTGGCTCACCTTTTATTGAATTTTTTCTGTTAATCGTACGACTTTAAAACTACGTCATTTCGGCCCCTGACCCTTATTACTTTATTATCCAATGCAGAGTGACACGCGCGTTATTGAAGGTGAATAAAGCCTGATGAATCATTGTTCACGAACCCTTCAAATTATGTTTTACCATTCCTAAGAGTAAGGTACGATGTAATAAAGTGCTATCATTGAATGCCTACTCTGATCAGTTCAGTTCCTTTTATTTTTTGACCTAGCCCACAAGCCTAGGCTTTGCTAAATATTTCATTAGATTTCTTGCTTCAAGCCAGTAAATCACTTGTTTATGTCACACTCCAACACACATCATACCAACAGCCACAGGCATAGCAAGGGGTTTGACGTTTTTTGCGGCATGAATTGATATCTCGGGGCAATGCCACTTATATTAAACCCACTATCCATTTAATTTGCAACACTGATATGATTATACAAGGATTGAAATGTTTTTAAAACATAACCAATAACACTAATTTTCATCTTAAGATGGTTCAATCAAATCTCCGTTTGCGACGGGAGTCAGAGAGAGACACACTCTCGACGCCAAAAGAATGTGCTGATTCACAAACAATGCTTGGCAGTAGCATCACACTGACGGATAAGTCACCACTATGTGACAAAGATACGGATATTCCATTTCCATCAGAACAACACCATGATGAGTACTCATTCCGGAGATTTGATGAAAATGGATGCATAACAGCAGGTGATAATGTTTTACTTCGTTATGATTCATCTACTTCCCAGAAAATGAACATATGTTCAGGGTTTTATCGTAATTTATTGTCGTAGTCTTCACGCTAGGGTTGTTTCAGAACCTCAACTCCCAAGACGATACAAAAATATAATGCTGATGTTTGCTTGTCTGGGGAACTTCGTGGTAATAATCTCCAGACTATACCCTTCAGGGTTTTATTTGGATTTTCTCGTGACAAACAATTTGAACACCACACTTGGTAAGAATTTGATTTTGCGAATAACACTCTTTTAATTTTAAACTGAAACAGCTTTTGTCGTGTACAAATCCATGCTGTACGATACAATTTTAAATTCATGTACTATATACATATTTATTTTGTATATTTGGACACGTTAATTGAAGTTTGAGGATATTGGTAAATATTAGTGGCCCTATTAAATGGCACGATGAGGTAACATCTTTCACACTATGAAACTATATAAACCCTCGATGTTTAGGATAATCGTCTCATCCTCTAGGCAAACTTTACAGTTTACATGGCCCCTTGCTGCCGTTTTTGACCAAATTTTCGAATTTTTAGCTACATATTTAGCGACTTTTTTCGTTATGTCATGGTACCACCAGGTAAATTCCGTCACACTTTCAAGAAATTTATAAAAGGTATGTTTATGACATCCTGACAAGAAATGTGTTGAGAATTTTTAACATATCTCGTTGTTATAAGTAAATAAAAATACAGAAGGCACAAATAGGTAAACTTTGTCACACATATTTGTATGATATTTCAACATCTGTAAAATTGAGCAAATAATAGTATACCAGTACCACCCCTTTTTGTTCACTAATTACTGTTACTAATTACTGTTACTAATTACTGTTACTAATTACTGTTACTAATTACTGTTACTAATTACTGTTACTAATTACTGACAACTATAAAACGTTTCTCTCCTCAGGGACGATGTCCATCTCGATCATGTTACTCACATCCGCACTAAGTCCTCTTTTTCACTACTGCCTCCCGAAATCCATAAAAATATCCTCTCTTCACAGTCGCTGCTTGATCCTTTGTCTAATAAATACTCTGTGCATTGCACTCATGTCCTTGGTCGATGTGGCTTTAAAGCAGGATCCTTCCGGAATTTCAGTTTGCGTGACTATATTTGTCCTCAGAGCAGTCCAGGGAATTGCAGTTGGTCTACTTTACGTTTTAGTTCAGGTATGGGTAGTACAGCGATTAAATCGATTGAATTGAAATGAGAAACTTATATTAAATATATTTGGTTAATAAGATTAAGATTGGGAAGTCATATTGATTTGTAGATTTGATTGGTCGTTGGAACTCTGCAAGGAAGCTGATTGGTCAATCGCTTCAACGTATCAGAACAAATATTTCTATCCCGGCCCCACCCCTCTAGTTTATGATATATTGCAATTGAAAGTTTTATTTTCAGGGCGAAGTAGTGGACTTATATTTCAAGGACGACAAGATGCCAATAATCCTAATCAGCGCCTTCCTCCAAATCGGAGCTATGCTTTCTACAATCCTCAGTGCCGAACTCTTCGTCCATGGAGGATGGGTCCGGGTTGGCCTGGTTGTAGCTTGCTTCAACTTTCTCCCACTCATGCTTCTACCATTAGTGAGGAAAGTACACGAAAAAGGTAAAAGAAATCCGGGTAAAGGTGTTGAAAGGGAATTGCTTGCCATGAATTCAATGGACAGTTACACCGTTTCAGATTCCAGTTTCCAAAAGTTAACAAGCAACTCCCGCAGAATATCTTTCTTCATACCAGATATGATGGTGTTCCTTAACAACTTGGTCTGCGATCTGTTCGCTTATGTCCTTCCAGCCAGGCTCGTTTTTTACTGCAACATTCCTTTGACCACTGCTGTACCTTTGTTTCAAACTTTAAACCTGGCCTCGCTGTTCACTGCTTTAGGCTTTAGCTTCCTAGCCAGCAAAAATCAAAAATTTGATGTGCTTGGATATATGACCGCTGCAAATTTTTTGTTTTATTTTGGTACAATCGTGGCCTTTGCGTCTACGACCAGTTTCCTCCAGTTCTTAGTTTTTCCCTATCAGCTGCTCATAGGGCTTGTTCTTTCGGGGATTGGTGTAGCAGGCCACTTGAACCTTGTCATCATGAGCAAGTTTACCCTCTACGAGAAATGGAATATGAGAAAATGTGGGCTGGCCAAAAGGTCTACCATGATAAATAACGTGACACTCAGTTTATCAGCAACTGTGGGTACTGCCATTTCAGGGTTCACATTGTCTGGGGAGAGCGAGGTTCCTACTTTGGTGGCTCTGACAATAGTTGGTGTTTGCCTCACTGTCGGACTTATTCTTTGCAAACTTGTCAAATAGACCATAGATGGCATCAAACTGAAACATTTAAAAATTGAGTGGGAGGTGAATTTGACAATTGACATCATACCACATACTTTAAGCAATTCAGCAGTCACAAGTCATTAGTCAAGGAACGTTGATTAATGAAAATGCTGAAGACCAGACTAAAATGTCCCCAAATTGTAATAGTATACAGCGAAATGCCGATTTTTTACAAGTTTGATGTTTGAAGAAAATTGTCGTACAATCAAGGATCATCCCAACTAAAATAAAAATGTAATGCATATTATATTTATATATCAATATCAGTTTACTCAGCTCTTTTTAGTCCGCGGCTAGACTAGACATTTTCAATTTTACAAGCTTGGAAAAATACATAAATCATAATATGCTATTACTATAATTAGTACTACTGCTAATATTCAATATTGGTACGCTATATATTGTATTTGTAATTTTGAGTGATAAAAACGATTTTTTGTTATACATCAAAGTAATTAATGTTTTTATTTTTAATAATATTTTATAAAAACTTGTTTTTAAAATTATTAAATCTAAAACGAAAATTACATTAACGGGTGATAGTTGTCATACGTTGTATGACCCGCCGCGCATGACGTGCGCGGCTCCTCCTGTAGCGTCGAAGACGCTATAGTGAAGCGACCGTGGGGGTCACCACGTGATACAAGGTGATAGTGTGTAGTTGGTAGTGATACTCGTAAAATATTTGTTCCAAATATTGTCACTGAGACCGTCTAGTCGACAAGTTCAACTTTGCACTTTGACCATTGTTAATGGTCTGACCCGGCGCGCGCTACTTCGTAGCACTTGCCATCGGGCCAAGAAGAAAGCGGCGCGCGCTACTTCGAAGAAATTTAGACGAGTGACATCCGTCAACTTTGCACTTTGACACACGCTAATAGTAATGTATCATGTAAACCTCTTTTTGCGCGCAGTGGCTATACATTATAGTTATACAAGTCTAGTTGAAGTACAACGTGTAGCAAGTTTTAATTGACGATGTGAATTCATCGCAGCTCGGCGCGGCACATGACAGTAGCGCATTTCGTGATTTCGCTGTTGTAGGTTTACATTTACAACATACCAGGACGCGCGCCGAGTTGGACTCGTCGCCGGTCCTAATATATGGAACAAATATTTTACTTACTGGGCCGCGCTCAGCCTGTCATTCCGCCGAATGAACATAATAGCCTGAGGTCCCCAGGTAAATATTTTACAAGTATCACCCGTTAAATTTCACCGCTGTGAGAATTGCCTCATTGAGTGCGCGGCGCGGCACAGTAACGCATCGCGCTACAAAGCAAGTCCAACTACAAACTCGGCACACTACTTACTTTGTTACTTTGTAGGGCTTCATAGAATCCTCTATACTATCGGGCCATCGAAAAAGTCGACCCCCCGGACAGTGTAGAAACTGTTTTATCACCCCTCCAATCAAGCAAGGAGTTCCCATTCCGACGGCTATATCCTGGAGCTGGAGGCTCGTCCGGAAATGACTTCACAAAGTTCGTTAAAGCTGCTTTGAATTGCATAGCACATATGATCCTCGATGGTGTGCATATGTGTTGGGATTACATTCCATAATCGAGGTCCAGTGACTGCAAATGAGTTGTCATGTAGTGCTTGATTACTTTCTCTAACCAGAGCCCTCTCGCTTGCAGTAGCGCGCGACCGCCGAAGGCGGCAAAAGAAAACAAGCGTGAAACAAAAGTGAAACAAGCGCGTCACGCATGACGCGTAGGCACATGGCTATGTGAACTTGATTACGTTGACTGCTGGACTTAGCTATACTGGGCACAACTGCTTTTTGACCATGTCTGAGAGTCACCGAGAACTGGATACCAATATCATTAGAGCACTTGCAATGCAGAACTTTCCACATGTTGATGATTAAATACCGTTCTCTTCTTCTTTGCAATGACATCAGATCTAGGGCCTTTAATCTCTGCCAGTAGTTGAGGTGCTGGGTGCCATCTATTTTCGATGTAAACGTTTACCTGAGGACCCCAGGCTATTATGTTCATTAACATAAATAAATAAAATAACCGAATAAAGATTTGGCGGAATGACAGGCTGAGCGCGGCCCAGTAATGTAAACGTACGCTGAATTCCTTCTAGCTGTTGGATGTCTTTGTTCTTAGAGCAATTCCACAGATCAGAGGACAGCAATACTCCAAATGACTTCTAACGAAAGACTTGTACAGAGTCATCATGGTTGATGGTGGCTTTGTCTCTCGTTTTGAACGCACTTAGCACACGTCTTAGATTATATTTATAAACCTACAAAAATTACATATATATATAGGGGTCGTATACATATTAAGTAATCAGCCGAGGGGCCGGGAGGAGGATTTTCAAATGATTACGCTAGTTTAAGTTTGATATAGTACTAGTTGACGGATGTTACTCGTCTAAATTTCTTCGAAGTAGCGCGCGCCGGGTCGGCTCTTACTAAATCGCTCGCCCAAAAATTTCACGTGACTTTGGTTTTTTTGGTTTTGCAGCCGTACAAAACGGTTTTACATAAACCCTTATCCCAACCCTAACCCTAACCATAACCCCGAAGCTATCCATATTCTTAACCACAACCCTAACCCTAACCCGAACCCTAAATAATCGAATTCAAGTTTTACTAGCCTGTCACGTGACCAAAACGGTTTTTTGCCCATAACTCTCCAGAGAAGCATTTTAACCCTACGTCATGGAGGGTGATTCTTACCTGAGGACCCCAGGCTATTATGTTCATTACCTGAGGACCCCAGGCTATTATGTTCATTAACATAAATGATAAAGATTTGGCAGAATGGCAGGCTGAGCGCGGCGCCAATGCCAGTAAGGGTGATTCGGAATCAGCGTCCAAAAATACACCGATCTTACCTGAGGACCCCAGGCTATTATGTTCATTAACGAATATAGATTTGGCGGAATGACAGGCTGAGCGCGGCCCAGTAACACCGATCTAGATCACTTTCATGCCTAAAGGGCCTTTTCACAAAAATTTTCTTGACCATTGTTAATGATCTGACCCAGCGCGCGCTACTTCGTAGCTCTTGCCATCGGGCTCTTGCCATCCATCGGGCAACATTTCGAGAAGAATCAAGAAAGCGGCGCGCGCTATTTCGAAGAAATTTAGACGAGTAACATTTACTGGGCCGCGCTCAGCCTGTCATTCCGCCAAATCTATATTCGTTAATGAACATAATAGCCTGGGGTCCTCAGGTAAGAGTAACATCCGTCAAGAATTTTCTTAAAGTTTGGGCGAGCGATTTAGTAGGAGCGCGCCGGGTCAGACCATTAACAATGGTCAAAGTACTAGTAGCTACCCTAAAAATTGTTATATGTTATATGTGAAGTGATGAACGACCCCATGGCCCATATTTAAATTTCCAACTGTAAAAATTGAAATGCGAAATTGTCTTTTCTGTCATTTCTCCGAATGTTTATTCTCCGAATGTTTATGAACATAAAGCCGTAGTACATACATATTACATTACACTGGAGCTTACACAGTGTAAACTGTAATTTCCTCCAGTCTGCGCCGCGTACGTATATATAGGCGCGCGCGGCAGGAAATTAGACTGTGTAAGCTCGATCCAGTGTAATGTAATATGTATGTACTACGGCTTAATAGCATGGGGTCCCCAGCTAGGTAACGGAATAACATGATTTTCTGTGTCAGTTTACGTTTACAGTTTAGTTTACACGGACACGCCACTCCGCGCGAATCACTTTGCCTCAGGTTAATGTTATGTAGGGTTCTGCTGCTGTGACACTTGTATCACGTGTGACCCCCACTGTCGCTTCACTATAGTAGAGTTTCTACCACTCGTGCGCGGCGGGTCATACAACGTATGACAATGTGACACCACTTTTAGTAACAATACAACAACAAGGATAACTCAAGTTTATAATGTCGAACTATATCGAAATACAAATTAGGTATCTACATAGACATAATATTACATATTTAGATTAATTAGACGACCACTAATGCACAATGATCACAGATCCAGATCTGTGAAAACGCAGCTCACATCTTGCTGCAGATATAATTACAATATAAATTGTAGTCAAATTTGTAACTTCTATAATTTCACATTCTCTCGTATTTCCAAGTATTAAAAGGAATAGTATAATCGTTGTTAACACAACTGTGAAACAAATACCAAACTCAAATTAGCAAATAATCGTTTTTTGATCGAAAAAAAGATCGCACATTATTGAACCAATTCCTTAAATTAAGGCGCTTCAAATTTGTTTGCATTCACAAAAAACAACAATAATCATTAATCAAACAAATCCACCGACAACCCATTAAAATTATTGCCGTGGGTAATCGTCATTTGAAACGCTGAAAATTACAAAATCATTGAGCATTTTGTCCACTTCAGAATGTCAAGTAAACAAAAATTGTTTTCGATCTTTGATTGTTAATTGAAGCACGATTACCCAACAACATCGCTCCCAAAGCTACAAAACCGATTACATTTTTAAGGAATAAGCGCTAAATATCAAAAGTTAAAGAAACTTAAATTAAGAAACTTCCATATATTGCATTGCTAAGTGAGTCCTGAATCACCTTAGTAAAGGTAAAAATAGAAATTAATCTATATCTCACTTCCACCAACAAATGTATTGTTAATTCTGATTCTGTGGAATGTAACATACCGGTTTAACACGTGCAAAATAACACAGCGCGCGACACGTGTACGTTGTAACAACGTTGTTACTCTTCTTGGCCCACTCTGATAAGATTAATAGCTTTCTGTAGATTGTCCAGAGTTGTTTTGTAATCTTTATAGTTTAGAGCACTTCCAGCGAACCTGGTAAATGTACTTATCAGTACAATTTTAATGTTATAATTAGTAATAGTTCATATCAGCTTATTAAGAACTTGTTTTTGCAAATACTTCTGATTTTGAGCGGTTCTGATTGACCCAAGGGCATACAAATTTCATATTTAAGTTATATAGTTATATACATTTTTTTTACATGTATTAAAAACTTAAGATTACAAATGATGGTACCTGCAAAGTTTCTGTATCCTCTCTATCTGCTGATAGTCAAGATTTTGAAACTGCGTTGTGTCTAGTCGCAGCTGAAATATAATTGGTTTATTAATCGGACTAATTAATTAATTGGACTAAATGATAATTTTATGAAAAAAGCTGGGATCATTTCGTAAATCAGAAACAAGAAATGCGGCAGCTTTTCTTTTGTGGAATTGGATGGCCGCTCAATTTCCCGATCCGCGCGTGATGGCTTATTTTATTATGTTCCATACAACCTGGGTCCCCAGTCTTTACTATTATAAGCATGCAGATATGGCGGAGTGATCGGCCGAGCGCCGCCCAGTTAATTCCATATTAAATTTGAAAATCGTATACATTATGTAACACGCCGTTTCGTAATTTTGGCAAGAATTTTTTTAACGAAATCCAACATTTCAGACCATATTATTTTCTATATAATTTCTACACGAGTGGATACTGTAGCAGGCATCGCTAATGTCGACATTTTCCCGTTGATCTACACATGGTAACAAAAATGTTAAAAATTGTTCTCCACATGGCATTATTCTGAAGGAAAATTTAATCTGCGAAATCACGTGACCTCACGTCGATTTGGTGTTATTTTGGGCTAAAAAGGTTTTCATTGGAACACATACTTTCTAAATACTAGCAGGAACCCATCTAACCCTTAAGTGGTGTCAAGACTCAAGAGACTAAATAAATTATTACCTATTTAATTCGCGTTTTTGACATCACTTGGGGGTCCAAATTTTGAGAACTAACATTTTTATTTCTTGGCCAATGTTTAATTTTTTCATGCTGATTTTGGAGGCCATTAATCTTTGCTTGCGCGGTTTTGCAACGCCTTTGTTCCTCTGTAAAATGCTAACAGTAACAATTTTAATCGACCAGCCCTCCACAACCTGGAGAAGGAGACCGCCAAGAGGAACTCTGTTTATGCCTAGTGATTCAGCTAAGTCAAACTATCATAATATGCACTACCGAAGTTTACACAATGATACTCGTTTTGAAGATTACTTAAAGCTCTCAGACCAGTTTCCCACCCCCAGTGGTTACAGAGCTCAGTCGACTAAAGCCGGGAAGAACAAGCACAGCACTACAGAACTAGCCGGACAGAACACAGGAAACTGCACACACAATGCAGAACTGATTGTGATAACACGAAGTCCCGACAACATCACGGAGGACACTGCAATTACATCCACAAACACTACAAACTACTTGAACTTCCGGGCAGCCCCACTAAATACAAACACTAACTTGAACTTCCGGGCAGCTCTTTTGAATATGTTAAATGCGAATGTGTACTTGAAATCATACTGTATATTAATATATCAATATATCCGTTTGTATTATAGTACTGCTATTATAACTATATGTTATTACATCACACAAAATCGCACTAAAAGCTCCAATTTCACACACTTACACCGCCTGTCTGCTCAAGATTTATTTTGTTCTTTATACAGCAAAATATGTGTCAATGAAGGCAAAAGTCAAGAACTCGGGCGGAGTGTGGCCGCAGTCTCGCCACCCGGAGGTCTAGCGCGTACCATTGCACCACCGTCCTGGGTAACTGATAAGAAAAACAGCACCTCATATTCCAGCACTCCTCTTACTAGCATTTCCGGGAGTGTGAGCTGCTGCTATACACGACATGTATCCCAAAATATACATGATCCAAGTTATACACTGTGTGAGAGTTATATCTTGCAAAACTCAATAAATGTTGAACTGCTTAGACTAATATTCTTTTTCCCCCTAGTTGCTGCTGTCATCGAAAATGAGAAAAGAGACAAGAACAGTGCCAACAACTCAACGAAAGAATCAACATCTGCAGGGAGGAACTCATCTATATCCGGAAGGAGGCCCCTGCGACCGCGCTCTGCTATTAACAATAGCAACTCGTCGTCAAATGGTGATGGAGGAGACGATGAAGACGAGGGATTTAGACGGGAGAAGCTGAAAACGCAGTGCGAAAACGATGCAGTAGCCCCTTGCCGTACTTCAACCGAATTAACGAAGGAAGGAATCGATGAAAATGATGACAGTTTAAAAGTAGATTTGACAAACGACCTTCACGATAAAAGAGATCAGTGGACTCCTTTACCACTACCTGTTAATTCTACCTATATCAACCAAGGTTCGGTAAACTTCATTAATATCAGAGATATGTCAATCGTTAGAGGAATTTCCAGAGTATGGGACATCGCACGTAACGTGAGTGGGTTTAACACCACTCAAGTCAACACCACTGTTAACCTGAACATCTCAGTTGGGAACACTATCGGAGACATCTCATATCTATCTGATATTTCTCAGGAAACTGAATATGATGATGATGATAAATCAGAACCTGCAGGCAGTCCTTCACCCTCCCCCCTTTACCTGACACCGACCTCGAAAGTACCAACAAGTAGAGGAACACCCCCGAGGAAACATGTCGAACTGGACTACACATCCCCAGTGAGGACGAATTTCAAAAGCAGGTCACGCTCCAAATCTGAGAGCTCATACAGACGTGATCCGTACCACAAACCAACCCCAACAGCTCTTTTGAAACGAAGACTCAAAGAAAAGATTGCGCTCGAAAGATCCGCGGCTTTCAACGAAACACCAGTCGCGAGGATGAGACATAACTCTGAACCAACCACCACTACGATTTCCTCAAATGATTCACATAATCTCTCCTTTTCACAGGGAGGTGTTGGATGCACTAGAATAAGGGAAAGTGGCACTCACGACTGTGGCACCGACGGTGCCGGTATACATTTGGAAAATGATTTACTGAACACGAATAACCCATTCCGCTTGAATATGGGCAATATTTCTAAAGCGGTGGAAAGAGCTCTGTCAACTGACCTAATGCAGATTGACAACTCAAACCCGACAGTTACCATAACGTTCTGCCGAGAGGAGGTTGATCGAGTAACACGAATCAGTTCACTGGACGAACATCCACGTGACCTGATCGAACAAAAGTCTCTCCTCTACCTGCTCGGTCAAATAAACCGTCACATGTCACGCACAACATCATGCAATCAGAACTTTAACGGTCTAAAAATCACCAGCATGTCGGACAGAGCAAAACGAATGAAACTAGATGATGATAATTGCTACCCGCTTGGAATCTTGCATATCGGTAGGAGCAGGGGACTCGACCTGCTACCTAAACGTGCTGCCCGCTTATCACTCAACGTCTATGATGTCGAAATGAGAAACTGGTCGTTCTTAACTATATCTTCGAAAACTCGGGCATCTATGATACCAAGTTTTGCTCCCGAAAGGAAGTTTGAAATGCATATACCTGATTACCACATAGTTATCATTCCCTGCAACAGTGATGAAGGCTGCAATTTGTCACGGTCTTGTCAAAATTGCGTAGTTGTTGAAGATGGAAAAATACATGATGCCAGTGACGATCAGGCCGGGAAGGAGACCACATGCCATCAAGAAGAAACAATGGCGGAAGACAACAAAAAGTGTGTGATAGCTGAAAATAGCAAGAACGTCACAACAGAAGATGAAGAAAAGAAGAAAGACTCTGAACCTTTTCACGAGAAGAAACTCTCAGCTCCTGATCATGCCGACTCTGACAGTGAGTACGATTCATGCGATCAAGAACCAGAGGACTCTGGAACAGAAAAGGTTGGCATTATGAATCACTCTGAAACTGACTCTATTTCAGAAAATGATGTCAATGTACCCAACGACAGAGATGATGAAGATGGATATCTCGCCCAAGAAAGTTCTTCAAATGTTGGTATCGCAGTCAATACAGAAACAGAAACAGATAAAGGAGAGGGAAGTGTTGCTGAGATTGCTGTGGCCCCAAATGAGAAACAGGTCAATGACGAACTTAAGATGGGTAAGGTAGAGGTGACCAATCTGCCGGAGGAGACAGAGCAGGAAACAGCAGGAGTTGGTAACCCTCCGCAATCTGACTCTTTACCTGGCAGTAATGACAATAACAGTAAGATTACAAACATTACCATTCCGACCCCATTCTTACAAAACAACGCCCACGAAGAAGTTGTCAGATTAAGGAACGGGGCCGTGGTTAAAGGTTGGCTAAAAGAGTGCAACATAAAATGTTACAACAAAACGGCAGACTGGAGCCGAGTGTATTTCATTGAGTACCTGGGCAATGTGGCATCAAGTAACTCTCCGTTGCAAAACAGTGTTACAAGTGATAGATATGCCCTTCACCCGAAAGTTATCAAAGAACTGATCGTATACCTGACAGACGATGCAGTAGTGAAAGAACTTAGCGCTCGAGGTGCATCTATCGCCGGAACGCCTGAAAAGAGAAAAAACAAGCTCACAGGTCTGTTCATTGATCTATACGGTTCCAATAAAAGCCCGGTCAAAAACAAAAATGCTAAGAAGGGGAAACATGGGAAGAAAGGAAAGACGAAGTTGGGCCAGAACCACAAAGACGACTATACTAGTACAGAACCGGTCTGTGCACAGCCTGGCCCGGGAATAAAGACAACCATAATTAAGCAAACACCTGAGTCTCATGATATTAACGCAACAATACTAAGTGTTGTAGAAAGCCCCCTAAAAACGCTGGAAAATTGTATGCTGAAGCTAGATGATCGGTTATTAAAGCAAGAAAGTATGGTTGCAGCACTATCGAAGAAGATGGATGCCATAATACAAAACCCACTTAAAAACAACACTGAAATCGCTGAACGCTTCCACCTTCTGGAAGAAAATGATAAGACCCTATTCATCAATATCAAAGCGCTAAATACGGATAGTCAACGGTGCTCTGAAGAGACCCTGAAAAAATTTAACTCAATAGCCCAAACGGTTGATAGGTTGGAGTCCTTGGTTAACATCTCTCCAAAGCCTGTCCTCTGCTCTTGTCACTGTGATGCAGAAAAAAGCCGAGATTTAAAAATGAATAGTCCCCTTAAAACAGCAACCATCTGCCGCTCACAGGATGCCGACTCTCAACGAGAAACTGTAACAAATGAAATTTTAACCCATGAAGAAACTGGTCCATTTACAGTGGATATCGGCGTCCAGACAGAAACCCTAAGAAACAGTTTATCTA